GCTTAAAAGACTTTAAAGAAGCTAAATTTAAAGAGGAAGAAAAAGTTAACTTATACTAAGAGAGGCTTACTTTTAATACTATTAAAAGGCTTTTTAACCTTAAAGAACCTATCTTCTTATTTAAAATTTATTAATTTAAGATTCTTATTTAACTTAAAGTTATATTTCCTGTTAAGTTTAAGTTAACGTTTATCTCTAATATCTATATTTGTATATTTAAAACTTATAATCTTATTATTAAGCTTATATTATAGTTCGATAGTAACATTATAGAATAACTACTAAAGAAGTTTAATTATCTATATAAAGATTATTAGGTTACTATTAAGGATATAAACCTATTCTATAAGTTTAAAAAAGATATAATTTTAAGGAAAATTCTTAAGTAATACGTATTAACTTATTAATAATAATTTATATCTTAAGATTAACTTATTAATCTTATTACTACAGATATTAAGTTAAAGAAATAACTAAAGCTAATGATAAATACAACTAATTTAAAGCATTTATTATAAGATTATATACTTATTATAGTTACTTATTAATAATAAGCTAAAATACTATTAATACTACTTTTTAAACGCTTTATATTATTATTTTAACACTTTATACGTTCTAGAATTAAATAGGGCATTTTACTTTAATAAATAATATCCTCTATACTTAAGACGCTTTAATCTATATTCAGTGTACCTTACTGTATGATATTAACTTTATAAGTAACATAGTTAGATAATAATAATTATAATATTAGATTAGATTAATTAATACTATTTAAGATATAGCTTAAGTAACACAGTATATAATTTATATTAGTTTAATAGCTTAACTTAATACTAATAGAACTTTATATACAAAAGCAGTAAATATAAGCTATTTATTTAAAACTATAATATAAATAGAAGTATTTATTCACCTCTAAATATAACTACTATTTAGATAGTAATAATAAGTATATTACTATATTAGTAGAAGTATAAACCTTTCGTATTATTAAATATCTAAGAATATTATAGCTAAATAGTGTAAGGGGCTGGCCCCTAGGCTTGTTCAACGTAGAGGTGCCGTCGATTGACTATTCTCAGCTGAAGAAGGAAGAAAGGACTTTACAAGAGTAGGCACCTAACAGCGGTGAAGCAGACCGGGTTAGGCGGTGTAACGCGGCAGAGTAGTGGGTCCAACGGAGCTGGATCTCAGTAATTGCTCCGGCAAAGCCGGAGATATCAATCCGGGCTCTAGCCCGTGACATTACCCCCCCGCTCCCCTCCGGCGGCGTGCCCGCGGCCCTAAGGCTGGGTCTCCATCATGCTCCATCGCGGAGCCATAACGGCGTTCATAAGCCTCCAATGCTTCTGTCCCCTGGAGCGTCTCAATAGGCTCCCAGGTCCTCTCTGCGTATCCTTCCCACTTAACCAGAACTTCGCAGCGTCGCCTGCGCCCTCGACGCTTCCAGGTAGCGGCGTCGATACTCTCTACATTCCAGGTCTCCTCGCCTTCGTCATCTATAATTGGTGGCGGCTGCTCGTCATCTAGCGTTTGCCCAGGTAAAGGGTCGTTACCTGCACGCTTCAGGGTATCCACGTGGAAGCGTGGGTATATAGCCGTTAGCACGTTAAGCTCTACCACGTATAGTGAGATAACCTTCGTAACGGTATACTTATAGTGCAACCAATCCAGTTTCTTGCATGGCCTAGGGGACCTGTAGTAGCCTATGTGAAGCTAGACTTTGTCGCCTGCTTCTAGTCTCTCCGTAGGCTGGCGCTTCCTGTTAGCCAGCTCCTCATAGCGTTGCTGCGTTGAGGCAAGGGTCGACCGTGCCATATCCATCACGTCCTGGAGCCTTATTACCAACTTGCGTGCCAGGTCCTCACGAGGGCCCTCATGGTCTTCTGGGTCTGCCTCTTGAACCCAGACAGGCTCTGGGTGGTATCTGTGTTCTAAGAAGAAGCTGCTCATGCCTATAGCGCTGCTATCGCAGCTGCAGAGCGCTAGTTAGGCTGCTGGGAGGTTATTCGCCCAATCCTTCTGCGAGTAGGTAATATAATTGCGTAGGTAGGCCTGGATCTCTTGGTTCATCCTTTCTAGGCCGCCATCAGTCTGTGGGTGATAGGCAGTACTAAGCTGCTGTTCTATTCCTAAAAGCTTGCAGAATTGCCGCCAGAAGCAGCTCGTCCAGTTGCTTCCTCTGTTGCTCACAATTGAAGTAGGGACGCTGTAGAAGCAGAAGTAGCAGCTTAGGAATCGTTCAGCGCAGGCTTCAGCTTCCATACTTTCCATAGCTTCAAGGGTTACACCTTTTCCTAGCCGGTCGATAATTACCCAAAGGTATCCCTCACCCTTATCTGTAAGGGGAAGGTTGGTAATAAAATCCATAGCGAGGTTGCTTCGTATACGCTGCGGTATTAGTAGAGGTTTCAGAAGTCCTTTTCGATGCTCTCTCCAGATATGGCTTCGCCTGCAGCTATCGCAATTGCAGCAGAAGCGTCGTACTAGCTGTGACTGGCCAGGCCAGTAGAAGCGCCTACTGACCAACGCGAGGGTATTATCTCTACCAGGGTGTCCACTAAGTACTGAGTTGTGGCTGCTTTGAACGATATAAGTATGTAGTGTGTTCGCCTCGCTATCCAGGTCTTCACTACCTGGTACCTAGATCTGGTCTCTGAATAGTAGTTGGTTACTATTATCGATCTCACACTCAGCAATCTGGACCTTTAGCTTAAGGCTAGGAGGGAAGCTTCTTTCTCGTTGTTTCACAGCATTATATGCCTGCTGGTAGACTTAGTCTTGCCCTTAGGTCTGGTCCTAGAGTTGCTGTAGTTCCTTATCGTCGGTGAACATAAGCACTGATGGGGCTGCCTCTACGCGTTATGTACGCGTTGAGGTAAGGGCTACTTCGGGAAGAAGCTGGAGAATCCAGCCTTATTCGCGCTTGTCCTCTAGAGACGTAGGTACATCTTGTTCGCGTCTAGAGAGTGCGTCTGGCACTACTGCTTCACTTCCTAGCTGGTACTATATCTCGAAGTTATACTGAGATAGTTCCTCTGCCTATCAGCTTTGCCGTTCTGTAAGCTTCTGCTTCGTCATAAAGTACTTTAGGTTCTTATAGTCTGATAGGATCCTAAAGTGGCCGACACTCTATAGCTCTGCTCTCTATTCTTATAGGCAGCTCATAATAGCTAGCATCTCCTTGTCATATATCAGATAGTTGAACTAGGCAGCGTTAAGCCGCTGCGAGTGGTATGCTACTGCATGACGTCTTCCATACTTATCTTCTTGTGACAGTACTCCTCCAAGGGCGAAGCCTGAGCAGTCAGCCTCAACGTAGGTTATACGCTCAGGGTTGAGTTGGTGTAGAACAGGCTTAGCTGCAAAGATCCTCTTAAGCTCCTGGAACGCCGCTTCTTGTTCCTTACCCCAGCAGAAGAGGACACCCTTCTTTGTAAGAGCTATTAGGGGTCCAGCGATCTCTGAGTACGCTGGGATGAAGATTCGGTAGTAGTTTGCAAATCCTAGGAAGCTTCAGACTCCCTTAACTGTCCTTGGCGCAGCCTATTCCTTAATTGCTTTCAGTTTCTCAGGGTCGCAAGAGATACCCACACCTGTAGTGATAATAAACCCTAGGTACTTAACTGTCTTAACAGAGAACGCGCACTTATGGGGGTCTAGACGTAACCCTATAGCGGCAAGCTTACGTAGTACTAGCTTAACCTTTGCTTTGTGGTCTTGCCTTAAGCTATTTGAGTAGATCAGGACGTCGTCCATATATGCTGTCGCAAAGTCGTCTAGGTACTCCTGAAGTATGCTATTGATATATCGCTGAAACGTAGCAGGGGCTCCCGTGAGCCCAAAGGGAACGACAAGCCACTCAAATAGCCCATATCTTGTTCGGAAGGCTGTCTTATACTCCTCTCCCTCTGCAATTCAGATCTTATGGAACGCTGCTACTACGTCTAGCTTAGTGAACCACTTAGCAGCGCTGACAGTCTGTAGCGTCTCTCAAATCAAAGGAAGAGGGTATCAGTCGCACCTTATAAGTTCGTTAAGGGCGCAGTAGTTAACACAAAAACGTATCCCTCCACCTGGTTTGCATACAAACAGTACTGGGGCTGATGCTTCTGAGCTACTAGCGCAGATAAAGCCTTTATCTAGTAGGTCTCTCAGGGTCTTACGGAGGATGAGAAGCTCTTCTCATGACATGCTGTAGAGCAGCCCCTATGGTAGTGCAGCCTCGTTGCCGTCGCTCTCCTGTTTGATAGGGATCGTGTGGTCGACTCCAGGGCGATACGGAGGAAGGTTAGCAGCTTCGTCAGGTTGGAATAGCTCTCAGAACTCAGCTAGTACAGCTGGTGGAAGGAGGGCCTTTAGGTCTGCCTTCTCAGTCTTCCTCGTAAGAGCCTTCTGTATATCTGCTAAGCTGATCGCTCAAACTTCATATCCTGCAGTTCCTTTGGTTTGTTATCGTGCCCTCCTATAGAGCGTTGCAAAAGGGGCTCCTGGGAGGAGGCGGGCAGCCCTGATCTGGCGCACTCGCTCTGGCTCTCCCTCGCCTTTCAGACGTAAGTCTATACCACCCCTCCTATGCTGTATACGCTGGGCAGCAGCATCATATAATATATGGTTCCTCTCCATCCAGGGTTTCCTTAAGAATAGGTTGTCGCTAAGGCCACGTACGGTATATGTAAAGATCTTCTCATTATAACCGCACAGCTTGAGGTTAAAGACAACTACGCCTGTTGCTTTCGTAGCGCCTGTAATATCGCTGAAGCTGCCTAATACCTGCTCAGAGCGATCTACTATTAGCAGGCGGAGCTTACAGGTAAGGTTGTGGTCGATAAGGGCGTATAGGTCGCACCTAGTATCTACTAAGGCGTCTGCTTAAGTGCCCTTATATATGCGGGTAGTGATCACTGCTGACTTGCCGCTTATGCGATACTTAAACTGCTTCAATTCTGTGATATCACTAGGCTTTGCCTCTAACGCCCGACTTTGCGTTAGAGTTACTCTTTTCCCAAGCTTTCTTCAGCCTCAGAACTTCCTGGCTCCTCTGTAGCATTATCATTACTGCTTCCTTCAGGCTTAGGGTCCTTCTTGACCTTTTTGACCTTCTTAGCCTTCGTAGGGCTGAGAGGCTTCCGCCTAGGGCACCATATAGCGATATGGCTGATCTGGTTACAGTTGTAACAACAGCGACTGTCCTTCTTTGGTTGTTGCAGGTCTTCAGATGAGGAGGAGCTGCTACGTTGGCGACGTGGCCTTGCCCTCTCCTTGCCCTTAGCGCGGCTAACGCCAGACATCGCCATATCTCCGTCTGCGTCTTGTTGGCCAGGTTGTGGTGCTTTCGAATAAGGTGGGGTACCCTTATGCGCCTGCTGAGGTAGGCTTTCAAGCTTAATAGCGAAATCCTGAACTTTGAGAAGCCATCTGTGGTAGTCGTCCTTAGGAAGTTCAATATAGATCAGACCCCTCTTAAGACGAGTACTAAGGGCCCCTTCAAGGAAGGCTATCTTAGCTTTATCTGCCCAGTCAGCGCCACCAGCCTCAGCTAGTGTTCGCTCAAACCAGGGTAGAAAGGAGGATAGAGACTGATCGTCTCGCTGGCGAAGGGTTCGTAGCGTGGTTGCTGCCTGTAGATCTATATTTAGGTCCTTATACGTCCGGTCAAGGTACTTCAGGAATTCAACAGAGTCCTTCTGCCCACCTGGACCTCCTGCTGCGTAGAAGGTAGCTACAACCTGCTGTGGCCCGCTATCAAGGCAGGAGTTAATGAAGTACCAGATATCAGCATTACTGCTAATATACCTTGCATCTAGCTCTATCTTGTCGCGCATCTGCTGGGCCTATGCTGCGTAGTCCTTACGCCTTCCCATGAACTTCAGGGGGTTTAGCAGGGGCTTCTTTCGCCCTTCCGTTGCCATTATTATACCGTCGCTTATTGCCTATATAGTTATATCAGCGGTGGACGGTGTAGGTATGCTGCTCGTAAGCGGCGTAGGGGTCGCTCTATCTGTTGATATAAGCCCGTTCAGAGCTGTCAAGAGCTGCGTCATCTAGTCCTGAAGAGGACATATGCTTGCGTTGACTGCTTCGTTAACCCTGCGGTCAATCTCTGCAGTCATCGCGTCGTTTGCGCTACCCTCAGGCGAATCTATTATGTCGCACTCGTGAGGTTTCGTATAGCGTCTTCTCGTTGCGCTACCCTCTAGCGAATCAGTCGTATCGCTCTCGTGAGGTTTCGTATAGCGTCTTTTGTTGTTGAGCTGAGAATATGTAAGGGGCTGGCCCCTAGGCTTGTTCAACGTAGAGGTGCCGTCGATTGACTATTCTCAGCTGAAGAAGGAAGAAAGGACTTTACAAGAGTAGGCACCTAACAGCGGTGAAGCAGACCGGGTTAGGCGGTGTAACGCGGCAGAGTAGTGGGTCCAACGGAGCCGGATCTCAGTAATTGCTCCGGCAAAGCCGGAGATATCAATCCGGGCTCTAGCCCGTGACAAATAGGTATTAGAGATTATAAATAGTAATACTACTATTAAAAAACTATTAGCTCTAACACTTAAGATAATTAAAATCTTAGATAATAAGAGGAAAATAATAAAGAAAACTATATTAATAAGTAAAATAATATTAAGTATAACATTAAGTAATTAAATAACTTAAAATAATACTTTTTAAGTATTATTAGCTAAAAATAAACTTTACTTTATAAATTAAATTGATATACTACTACTTTATACACTATATATATTATATTAATATCTGTAGCTATATTATTAACCTCCTCTATCAGTTTTACTATCTATTTTTATAAAGCTTTCTATAGAGGCTTTAATATTACTACTAATAAGAGCTAATACTTCTCTAGCTACACCTCATTTTAAAATACTAATTCTATTATTATTATTAATTATACCTAAAGATAAGCTTACTTTTAATTTTATCTTATAATACTTTAAATAGTTATAAAGAATATATTACTTAATATTATAAAATAGAATATAACTTTTTATTACTTATTAATAAATATTAAGGATAAAGCAGTTAGTATTTATTAACTTTAAGAATTAAACATAGAATAATTTAAGAACCTTAAAGCTCTACTAAGTTTTATATTTATAATTAAAAATAAAATTCAATAGTTCTTAAGTAATATAAAGGTTCTAAAGTAGCTTATCAATTTTATATCTACGTCTAATAAGGTAAATATAGCTTTATAAACAGATTTAACTAATATACTTATATATAAATGTTTAATTTAAGCTAAAAAACAGCTTATTTTATAAAGATAAAGAGTAAATACTTCAGAATAATAGATTAGAGGAGTAAAAACTTTAATAATAAAGTTAGTAATATATAGTTTAGATTGATTTTATTTAATTTACTTACTTACCATCTTTAATAATTAAGTTTATATATAATATATTTAACTAGCTAATATATATATATATATATAGAAATAGAGAGATATAGAGAGCAATATATTATTAACTTTATTAAGAACGTTTAATAAATTATTATAAGAAGTAGTTATTTAAGCTTAATATTATTACTAAATTAAGCTTATAGGTCTTTTTAACTAATAGCACGAATATTTACTCTAAGGAACTATATTAAACCTTTTGATATACTTTTATACTACTTAGAGCTATATAAAATATATATTGAATAGATATATAAAGCTATACTATAAGTCTTTTTTTTATTCCCTAGTAAATATTATCTTAATCTCTTACAATAATAATATTATAAACCTTTTATTAGTTAATTAGTTTAAAGTAAAATAACTAGTTAGGTTAATAATATCTCTATAGGTAAACTAATTACTATAAAACTATTAGATTTATATTATTATCTTTATCTAATATTTCTCTTAACATATTAATTATAAATAAACTATAAATATGTATTATTTATTAGTAGATTATTAATAAATAAGCTACATAGAAGCAAACTCTTAAGCTAAATATTATAAAGAAGCTAAGCTATTATGAGATTTATTCTTATTATTAACTATTAAACTTTATTAGCTAAAGCTAAATAAAAATATTTACTATATAATATAAATCTATTATATTTAACACCTTTTTATATATTATAAACTAATAGCCCCCTATAATATATATATATAAAAACTATATATAGTTATTTATTATTTTTAATTATACTTATTAGCTTTTCTTCTAGCTTTTATAATTATAAGCTTCTCCTCTAGCTATAGTTATACTATTAAATTAAATATACGTAAGGGAATGCTAGCTATAATCTCTATAATAAATATTATTAATAAGTATATAAGTATTAATATACTTTATTACTATATAATGATTACACTTAAATATAATCTAAATAGATATATATATATATAGTTAAGCTAATAAATATATAACTTAAATAGTATATAGCTATATTATATTCTTCTATCTATATAAAACTATTGCTATATCTAATCTATTATTTAATAAATACTTTAGAGATAAAACTATTATTAAGCTTATAAGTTTATAAGTTTATAATATTTTATATTTAAGCTTTACTCTCTTTATTACTAGAGGAATCTTTTTTTAGTATAATAATTTTATAATATTAAAAATAGCTTATAATTTACTCTAAGTATAAACTAATAATAATAACTATTTTATAGAGAAACTATTTAAAAGGATATATCTATTATATGTATGTATTTATAACATACTTTACCAGTCAGCCGCGCATATCAGTCAGCCGCGCACTTTTTCCATGACGCGCTTTATTCCCAGCCACTTAAACCTTTGACGCGTAATATCTTAACAACCGCAATGCCGATTTACACCCAAGAAGATAAGATCATTCTTACTATTAAGGCGATCTGATCGACATATGCTCTAGGTTATAAACTTAGTACGTAAGGTGCTGCAAAGATATATAGTATCCCTAAAAGTACCTTATGCAACAGAATAAATAATTAACTATATTATAACTATATTTAGCCGTAATAATATAAACTTAATCTAATTAAAGAGAAAACACTTCTCTAATATGTAATTAAGTAGGATTCTAGAGGATTTCCCCTATAACTCACTAGTATAGAAGATATAATAAATCTCCTGCTGTAGATATAGAATAGGATGCCTATTAGGAAGCATTAGGCTAAGAGGTTTATTAACTTACAGCTGACTCTAAAGACTATATTTAATTATCTATATAATTATTAAAAGGTATTTTAAGAGGACCTAAAGGTTATTTTGAAGTGGTTTGTATTATTAGGCAATATAATAGCTAAATATAGTATTAATAATAAGGATCTATATAACTTTAATAAGACTAGCTTTATAATAGGTGTTATTATTAGTTTAATAGTTATTATATATGCTAATAGATGCAGAAAAGTGAAATCTGTCCAGCTTAGTAACTATAAATAGGCTATAGTTATTAAGTATATTAATTTAAGGGGATAATTGTAAGGGGCTGGCCCCTAGGCTTGTTCAACGTAGAGGTGCTGTCGATTGACTATTCTAAGCTGAAGAAGGAAGAAAGGACTTTATAAGAGTAGGCACCTAACAGCAGTGAAGCAGGCTGGGTTAGGCGGCGTACTGCGGCAGAATAGTGGGTCCAATAGAGCTGGATCTCAGTAACTGCTCCGGCGAAGCTGGAGATATCAATCCGGGCTCTAGCCTGTGACATCACCCCCCGGCTCCCCTCCGGCGGCACGCCCGCAGCGCTAAGGCTGGGTCTCCATCGTGCTCCATCGCAGAGCCATAACGGCGTTCGTAAGCCTCTATTGCTTCTGTCCCCTGGAGCGTCTCGACAGGCTCCTAGGTCCTCTCTGTATATCCTTCCCACTTAACTAGAACTTCGCAGCGTCGCCTACGCCCTCGACGCTTCTAGGTAGCAGCGTTAATACTCTCTACACTCTAGGTCTCTTCGCCTTTATCGTCTATAATTAGTGGCGGCTGCTTATCATCTAACGTTTGACTAGGTAAAGGGTTGTTACCTGCGCGCTTCAGGATATCTATATAGAAGCGTGGGTATATAGCTGCTAGTATATCAAGCTCTATTACGTATAGTAAGATGACTTTTGTAACTATATACTTATGGTGTAACTAATCCAGTTTCTTGCAAGGCCTAGGGGATCTGTAATACCCTATGTGAAGCCAGACTTTGTCGCCCACTTCTAGTCTCTCTGTAGGCTGGCGCTTCCTATTAGCCAGCTCCTCGTAGCGTTGCTGTGTTGAGGTGAGGGTCGATTAGGCCATATCCATCACATCTTGAAGCCTTGTTACTAACTTGCGTGCTTAGCCCTCACAGGTGCCCTCAGGGCTTGCTGGGCCTGCTTCCTTGACCTTAATAGGCTCTAGGTTGTATCTATGCTCTAGGAAGAAGCTACTCATCCTAATAGCGCTATTATCGCAGCTACAAAGCGCTAGCTGAGCTGCTGGAAGGTTATATGCCTAGTCCTTCTGTGAGTAGGTGGCGTAGTTGCATAGGTAGGCCTGGATCTCCTGGTTTATCCTCTCTAGGCCTCTATCAGTCTGCAGGTGGTAGGTGGTGCTAAGCTGCTGCTCTATTCCTAAAAGCTTGCAGAACTGCTGCTAGAAGCAGCTTGTCTAGTTGCTCCCTCTGTCGCTTATAATTAATATAGGGATGCTGTGAAACCTGAAGTGGCAGTTCAGGAATCGTTCAGCGCAGGCTTCAGCTTTTATGCTTTCTATCGCCTTGAGGGTTACGCCTTTACTTAGCTAGTTGATAATTACCTAAAGATATCTCTCGCCCTTATCTATAAGGGGAAGGTTAGTAATAAAATCTATAGCGAGGTTGCTTTATATATGCTGTGGTATCAGTAGTAGTTTCAGAAGTC